AAATATGTGCTGTCGGAGAAGCAATGAAAGGGATTAAGGACTTCCCTAACCACCTTGGTGTCTGGAAAAAGATGTGTTATTTAGCTACATCCTAAAATAATTCATGATCTTGCCTGTTTGGCAGCTTTATGGCCCGACACTCCATGAGAAAATCATTCTTGCCCATTAAACAGGTTTATCACAGCCAGGGGTCAAACCACAACAAGTGCATACAATTCTGTTGTTAAAATGGTGTGAAATGACTCTTCACTGGGCGAAGGGAAGACTGGACTGCCCATTCCTCCCCTGCCACTGGGATAAATTTTCTGGCTCCCTATGGGCAAAGGAGGATGGACTTCAGTGTTACCCTCTTCCACCAAACGGGGGAGGCATTTCCACTGCACTCTACCAGCAGTAATGGTGTTGCTGGCCTTCGGGCATGGGAGAGGCTGTGCTGAGCCTTGGTTTGCCGCACTGGGAGCACAAACCGCATCTCTGGTGCACGGGGTGGCCATGGCCTTGCGGTGGTGGCAGTGGGCACGTCTGCCCAGGGGTCAGCCCTCACCTAATTGCTGTATGCTTCCCTCCTGTTAGCCAGAAGAGCGTATGGCTCCCCTTATGCTGCTCCCATGTCTGCTCTCATATGGTGCCCCTGTTGTTTTTAAGCGGCAGGGAAAAATATCTAAATACCTTAAAAGTGAGTTACTGAAGGGTTTGTAGTGGGCGGCGATGACTGGCATTTACTTTCGGTTCCCCTGTCTTCCAGTTTCTGGGAAACGACAAGCGTGTGATGCGGCCCTAACTGCCTCCAAATTTGCTTTCCATAGGCATGAAATAGGCTGGGTTTTAGCATATCCAGGCGAGGGCGATCTCGGGATGTGGAAGGGAGAAGTGCAACTTGCAGCTTCAGAAGTGGTTCTGGATAACCCCCACAAAAAGCAGTCCCCAGAGGCTCAGATTTGGGCAAGATGAAGTTTATTCGTTCCAGTTCAGCTGGTTCTTCCACCTTCGTGACTTCAGGACACTCAAAGACATAAAAGAGGCATATATCCTAAAAATATAGGAAACTGTTCACTGGACAGAAGTAAACTAAAGGCAAAGGATGAATTTACTCCAACTATCCAAAGAATAACAGAAAAGGGGCTGAAGTTAGGGACAGCTGTAGAAGAATAAAAGAAATCCATCCTTTTAGGGGTTTGCCTATGCTTTAGACCAGTCCCAAAAAGTTTGGAGTCATCCAGTTAAGAAGCTAAGGAGTTATTGAGATATCTACACCACATCCAGACAAGACCCTGGTTGGGGATACATATATTGCAGATAGTTGTTTCTATTTTCTCTTTGTGGTTATATTCAGACGAGGACCTTTCTTTCAAAGGGTTCTCTTTTATTCCTAATTTAGGGTTTGCTCCCTGGGGAT